TGTGAGACGAAAATCACACATAGAGTGTTGTCAAAATACATGGCATGTTGGGAAATTGAACTAGTGAGAGCAAATTTTCTCTCTTAAATTTGAATTTTTTGACACTCTGGGGACTGATAGGAAAGGAAGTTAAAGTTTAATGGGGAAAAATCATTTTCATTTAATTGTAGCTTGTTTAACAATAATTTCCGGGAAAAAAATGAACTACTCAAATCCCTAACTAATTTATTCAGGTTGTCGTTCACTTTTTATGACCTGAATGTGTACCGAAAGTGAATTGTTCCCACTTTTCTCAATTTTTATATGGGGATAATTATTACTTCCAACCAGTGGAACAGCGCCATCTTTGTGGAAAATGGCCGGACGATATGATTCATTTAAAAAATTGTCATAGTAAGATAATTAATCATGTTGCTACCATGCTTCTGCGATAATTTTCTTTCAATTGTCACTGCTGTAGTTAAAGGTGACATCTATAAGAAATTGCACATACATTTCGTTCCGTTAAGTGTTAAAAGAGGGCAGTGCGGTCAAAACTGTATGGTACCAATGGTGACGTAGAACTACGTAGTCTTATATAATAAATCTTATTTGTTAACTGCAGGAGTTTGTGGTTTGTGTAGGAATAGGAATTTGAACTGGGTTCTCTCTGTATGAAGCACTTGGCATAGATGGCCCACAGCGACTCACGAAGAGCTACTGTGTGGGCTGCAGCTCACTGCTTGCAGAAAGCCTTTCGTTGTGTACTGGCGAACAATGTTCAACGCCACGCGCCGAAAGCACTGCTGATGCCGACGACTCGACACCAACACACGCGGTGATTGAAACTGAATCCAATCAGCGGTTGAGGCCAGCCTTGGTCCTAGCTGCTTGCCGGGAGCCTTTCGTTGTGTACTGGAGAACACCACCATTCACCACGTGGTGATTGAATAAACACCGTTTGGTGAGACCGGATAGAATCCAACTTTGAAATCTGTGTTAGGAAATCGCTTTTCACAGGCAATTGGTGATCATTTTAAGTATCAAAGCAACAGTTGCACATTAGTCCAATTTTCAATAGTGACATTTTGAAAAATGATAAGTTCTTAAATTTAACAGATGCGTAGAAATGTAGCTGATCGATTGGTGATAAAATTATTGAAATTGGTCCAGGGGCAGCTGATTTATTGACGTTCAAAATCTTTCATAATTGTGTAACATGTTCCATTTTCGGTTTCCACAAAGTCCTACGTCAAAGGGAGGGACTTTGGATGTTTATCTAAATGCATTTATAAAGGTACCTAACATATTTTGTAGTGTCAGGTACTGTATTTTGCAGCCTATGGGCGGGAAATCTCAGATGGAGTGTCATTAAAATACACGGCATGTTGATAGATTGAGCTCGTGAGAGCAAGTTTTCTCTCTCAAATTTGAATTCCATGGCAATCTGGAAAATGGTAGTAAAGAGGGTAAAGCTGTATGGGTAAACATAAGTTTTAAATAAATGTTGTTTGTTTAACAATAATTTCCTAGAAAGAAGCGAACGACAAAGTTCATGAATGATTTATTAAGGCTGTCTCTAGAGACACACAATAACATCTTACATATCTGCTAATCTATCTGATTTCATCGTAGTTCTAAAGCACAACGTTTTGGCTGTGTCCCATTGGAAAGTATTTTTCACTTTTGGGAACACAAATAAATTATGGACAGAAGTAAATAAATGAGCTAGTTATGATTTCATATATTGAAAATCCTGCTCAGAACATGTGAAGGAATTCAAGAAAAATAAAAAACAAATAAATATCATTGATTTTCTACCAGAAAAGGTCAAAACTACTCATCTGGTCCTATCTCAAAAACTAAAATCTCAAAATCATTTGCCCTTAGAAACACATCAAGTAGTAGAGTTTCCCAAATTGTGGTGAAAATTTGAGCCCAAATGGTTAAGAACTAAAAACTCCCGTCCATGGTATAACTATGCCTTTTTTTTGTTGATAATTTGTGTACCTGCCGGTAATCAGCCTGTTTACCAGGGCCCAACAAAGTCACTTTCAATCGAAAATCGTCAAGCGACGACGAAGCTGTCAACCATCACTTTCAATTGAAAGTCATTCTGTCTTCTTTTCGAGCAGATCCCCTTCAACATCAACAGAACCAATTTCGATCAGTTTTCATCCTGTTTGTTTTGGCTAGACTCGTGTTCATTTCGTATTTCATTGTCAAATGAACTTACTTTCGCATTGAAGTTCACTCGGTTAATTTAAGCGCATGCACATAGATCTGTGCACGTGGATGCCAAATGTATCAATAAGGGTATTTTGGGAATCGGGGTGACGTCTAGGGGCCGGAAATCGATATCCGACGACATTTTGAAATCCATGATGGCAGCTTCCGATTTACGAGAAAAAGAAGGGAAACACTATAGCCAACCCATTAGTATGGAATCGAGGTGACGGCTAGAGATAGGAAATAGTTATGTGACGTCATTCTTAAATCCAAGCTGGTGGTCTCCATGTCATACAGTGGAAAATACTGTAGAATACTCTCAATATGAGTAAATTTGGAATCGAGATGACGTCTAGAAAAGGAAAATCGATATCCGACGCCATTTTTAAATCCATGGCGGAGGTTTCCGGTTTAAGAAAAAGTGGGAAATTCTATCAAATACCCATACATATGGGGTTTTTTTTTTAGAATCAGGTGAATATGTCTTCTGGTGAATATGTCATGTGCTATCAATGTGGTTATTTTCAAAATCCCAGTAATATCTAGAGACCAGCAACCGATGTTTGACGTCATTTTAAAATATAAGATGGTGGCTTTGGGTCAAATACCGATAAATGCGGGTATTTTTGAAATCGGGGGGACATCTAGAGGCCATACATCGATGTCCGATGCCGATGAAATTCAAGATAACGTAGAATATCGATTTTGAACCGATTTTGAAACCCGATGGCCACCATATTGGATTGCAAATTGGCGTTGCATATAGTTTTTCAGCATTTACGTGTTGTCCCCGTTCGATACATACCCATAATCTAGGATATTTGAAACTTTTTATGAAACCCGATGGCTGCCATCTTGGATTCCAAAATGGCGTCGAATGTTAATTTACGGCATCTACACGACGTCCACGTTCGGAAAATATCCATATCTTAGGGTATTTGACACTTTTTCTGAGCCCAATATCCGCCATATTGGATTCCAAAATGTTGGCGGACATCGATTGTCAGCACTTTCGCGTCGCGACGCGTCGTCTTCATTCCGAAAATACCCGTATTGTAGGGTATTTGAGACTTTTTCGGAGCTAACTTAATTTTCGTTTAACCCCGAATTGAAGTGAAAGTGGAAACAACGAAGGAAGTAGTTTTTGAGTCATTCATTGCGTCAATTGAAACAAATGTTTGCTCCAAATGAAATGAACTGACGCACTTGACGAACGAAACAAGTAATAGTCAAGTAATGTTTGACAGGAGGAATGTTCACCGTGACTCGATAACAAGAAACACAATGACTTACACGAAAATGATATTGCTTGAAGTAAAGCGATTATGCAGAGAGTTCATTTTCTTTTCTTTGTTTCGAAAATGCAGAACCCTTCTGTTTACTATAGTTACTATAACAAAAACAAAATGCGGGTACATCTATACGTGTAGACGTGTAAAAACCTTCAAATTGATATTCTAAGATCACGAATAGCTTACTTAGTTGTGTAGCAATCTCTTCTGACAGTTGAAATTTTTACGCTAAAATAAGCGTTTTGGCCAAGTTTGGCTATAATCGGTGACATCGACCGCAACTTTCTTAAATTCTGTACCCACTTGAGCTGAAATGACCCATATTTCAGTTGAATAAAAACCTGGGATAACAGATTTACTCAGTCGTAAACATGTAATCAAATTGAAGCTGAAATTCTAAGGAATCGTTCAGCGAAGTGTTTTGGTAAATTTAAACGTTTAACGTTAACATTTTGGTTGCCGAAAACAATAAATTGGTGCCCAAGCCATCATTTACCCTACCTGCAGCAAATCAATGATGCTTCTTCCCGAGAATTCTCAAAATATCGTTGTTCTTGTTTTCCGCACTTATTCGCACTTATCTCCCGGGCGCTGCTGGCAAGTGCAGCGATGCGACGGTGAGTCGTAATCATGATTGGCATGTCGAATTGCCGTGCCAGAGTAAACAAACACGAAACATATTCACCATCACCATTATAGTGATCCACTGTTGTTGTTGACCATTTGGTTTTGTGCGATACTTCCAGAGGGTTTTACGATCCTATTTTTGTTTCAATCGAAGTGAAGTGTCATCTCACAGTACAAACCAACTCCTACTACGTATGGCAAACTCCAAGGCAACGGAGGGTTGGGGTCACGGGAGAGCAACGAAAAATAATTAGAGCATCGAAAGCACCTCTACCGGTTGGGAAAAATACACACATCACCATTTTCACGTGCTCTGTGCTGCAAGGTGGTGAAAAAATGAGCAGGATTTCGCTCTCGGAGCTCGTAGACGAGTCTGTGACTGTGCTGATGCTGATGTGCTTAGACTGGTGCAAACCAGACGATTAGGTCACCAAACGACTGTTTTGATCAAACGGTCCCAGAACCGTTCTACCATTCGCACAGAATGTTGATTTTATTTTGCTGCTTTCATGATAATAATCTAAGTCATTTATTATTTTAATACCCCGCTCCCGAACCGTTTTGCTTTGGCATTCTGATATCAAACAGTGACTCGCACACACACACACACACACACACACCCACATGCAACAAGAGCAAGAAAAATAGCTCTAGTCTCCTAGCATCACAGTTGTGCACAAAGTGCCGCGCTTGTGAAAAGAAAAGTGATGCAGAGGAGAGAAGAAGAAAAAAAAGTATCATTCCACCGAAATGAGCAGTGATTATATATTTCTGTGTTGATTTTCCCTCCGATCTGCACCACGGCGGAAAAGTGGGACCGGAATTAGGGTGGGGAAAATCAGTTCGCAGAGCAGTGAATCATGTTTTTCCTAGGTATTAGAAGAAAATTGAAAACGGTCACCGCCGACGACGCTTTTGATTGCAGCACGTGAAAATTGATAAAGTGCGAAGTGTGAGTGCTAGGAATAAATAGGAATCAAAAGTTTCGGGCTCTGCGGGAACAAACCATCAATCATTCTGAGTGAAAAAAAAGCCGAAAAGGAAATAAGTGTTTTATTTGTCAGAAGAAAGTGAGAAGTGAAACGTGATTTGTTCTTTATCGGAATCAACCGCAGCAGCGAAGAGGGAGCGAGGGAACTCTTTCGAGGCGCCAGTTGACTAATCTGCCGTCTGATTGAGGGAGGAAGCGCCCACGTAAATGCAACAGCAGCAGCAATGAAGTAAGTACAAGCATGACGGCTATTTTTTTTTATTTATTTGTGATTGCAGTAACTAACAGTACAAGAGTGTCTTCTCGGTATTCGTTTCTATGATCGTTTGTCATAAAAATCACAGCTTCGAGCAAGAAGTGACTGTATGTTCAGTCGTTAATCTCGTAAGCGACTCTGGGGGGAAAAAATGGCAATAAAAACGTAGCTTGGGAAAATCTATGTACGGACGTAAGAGGGTGATAAATGTCAAATTGAGTATAAAATAGAAAACGGACGGCTGTGTTGGAATGCTCGCAAATCTTTTTTGATTGCCGGAAAACGGTCGATTATAGCTTTACTGTGTCATTTTAGACATGCTGGTTTGGTGATTTGGTGAAAAAAATGTACTGTACAGTTGTAAATAGAACACTTGAAATTTAGGCAACTGAAAATTATACCACAGAAAATAAGACACATGGAAACGAGAAATTTTCAATAAGGGGCTGTCCATTACATACGCAGGAAGCTTAAGGAAAGGGGGACTGTGGTAGTCCGAGCGAACCCCAGTATTACTAAAAACATAATGTCAAATGGTATGATATTTAGTTTGTCATATAAAATCACAACAGCAGTACTATTTCACTAATTGAGTCATACTAATGTATGATAAATGCAATAGAACACATAAGCTCACGTATCCATTGGGCTTGTAAATATGTTTGTTTTAAATTGGCATCGCTCAGGTATTTGGAAACACGTTTGTAAAAGCATGACATTTTGATTACATATTTTGTTTAACAAATAGGGGAAATGGCTCTTATGTTGGCCTATGGATCTAAGATTGGGCCCATAGCTAAAATCTGCTATTTATCAATTTTATCTAGATGAACGCATCATTAGGACGGTACTAATGGATATTTTTGGCTTTTGGGGCATTCAGGCCAACATTGCATCCATTTCCCTTAACACAAATCTAGTATTTTATGTTTCAACGTACAAATAAGAAGTATGGTGAAATATGTTTCATCAAAACAAATAAAAGTCTATGTGTATTAAATAATTTGGTACATTTCGTTTGGCAGGTTAGACATAATTGACGATTACAAAGACTTTGCACAGCCTGCAAATGTTTTGTAACAGCATCCATAAGTTATCTAGTGAAAAAATATTCTTTGAATTTTATAAACCCCCATATAAACCCATTTTGCGGGAACCACTGTTAAACGTGGTTTGGATTTCTTAGACTTCCGTTTTTGAACAACGAGAAACGACATTTTTCACATTTAATAGGTACAAACAATACAACAGAAAGCCAACAAGCACTTCTTTAGGGAACGTTTGATTGACATTCAGGTACATCAAAAACTAAATCAACTATTTTTGGTTATTAGGGTTTTTCAAAACACACTACCGACTAAAATTTTCAGTATAGAACAGTGATATGAAAAAAAATAAAATCTAATCAGTTGTTAAAAAACTTCAAATCTCTCCATGTCTGGCTTTGATGCTTTAACACGAGCTTTTGCCTGCTCTCAACATAGTGTTCTATGAAGCACTTCCACAGTTATCAATTGAGGTAAATGCATATTGGTAATCTGCATTAAAAATGGATCCGAAATCCACAATTTTATCTATTTTGATACACTGGAACTATTTTAAGTGAATGCGATTACATCAGTAAAAATCACCATCTCAGCGCCCCTCGGTGGGACTTTGAATGGGAATGAACTGATAACTGGTTAGTTTGGTGTCAAGCAGGGAAATTATGACTTTGCTTTCCCTCCCCTTGGCTAGTTTTTGCACCTTGCTGTTGGTGGGCGGGCTTAATTTTATGCTTTATAGTGGAGTGTTGGAGATGGTAGATTTATGGCCGGCGTTGCTGGCTCAGGCATCCCGTTGCTCAGTCAGTAAAGGTGCAGCTAGAAAGCAAGACCATGCTAGAGGTGGCTGGGTTCGATTCCCGGTCCGGTCTAGGAATTTTCCGGGTTGGAAAATATCTCGACTTCCCTGGGCACAGAGTATGATTGTACTTGCCACTTAATTATACTAATGCAAAAATGGTACAGGCATCGAAAGCTCTCAATTATTAACTGTGGAAGTGCATCTAGAATACCAAGTTGAGAGCACGAAATAAGCTAATATGCCATATGCAACAAGCTTGAATTGCGAGGAAGAAGAAGAATGCTGGTTCATGCCACGATAGTATGGTGCCATGGGCAGGCAATGGGGATTACTAAGCATCCCCTCTCTGATGAACCACTGCATGAGAAAACCAAAGATCTGGTCCAGCAGTGATAGTATCACACTTGTTACTCCTTTGTTTGAGAGCAGCGTTGTAGTACGCATACGTATAGGCACTGACGTTGGATGCGATACTGGCGGGGTTTGCCACAAATCACTCTTATTTTATTTATTTTTACACAGATTTATTTGGGTTTTGAATGGGAATTATACCATTAAAATATTTCAGGAAGTGCCCAGGTATTACTCAGGGAACAATGTTAAACATAATTTTTGCACATGGTATTGTAACTAATCTTATATGTGTGTAAGCTACATTGTGAACTCATCTGTAGTATTGGAGCTTTATGTTTCAAATCAAAGCTTCAGTTACTTTCATGCAAGTTTTTCGCCCTCTCTACGTGAAATGACAAACTGCTTTGCCCGTGTATTTAAAATTTGATGTGAGTTCTATCCAACGGATCTCATTTACTTTCCCTCCGGGCTGGTTGATGATTCCGAAAAAGATATGATGACCAAAATATACTAGCTACTGGTCAACAAAAAAACTCCCACTGATCGATGTTCGTGGGAAGAAGAAAGCATCATTTAGCGTAGGATAAAATGAGATGAAATTCATTTCCCGCAGCTCCAATACAATAGCGTATTGTTTGAGGCGATTAAAAAGACATTTAGTAATCGAGTGGTCCATATGGGGTTTTGAATTTTACTTTGGTGGTCCGCGTCCTCTTGAGAACACGTAAAAAAGTATCGCTGCTTAAAGTTAGATATTAAGTAACCTTCAATTTGTGAAAAGTTGATAGTGCGGCCTGATTATCAACGTAACAGTGAGTTTAGTCTTGTAAAAATTCCTAAATAAATAGTCAAATTTAAAACTATATGTGTTCCTAGGATTGTGGTTAACCTGTGTAGTCAAGTTAGACTAGACTAGTTGTCTGAATTTGAAACTTAAAACTAGTCAGGTAAGATCTCGTACAAAAATTGCTCGGTGAAAGCTGTGATTTTCTACAAACTTGTACACGTTGAACAGGGACAATACCCACCGCTCAACGTGGGTGTTTGTTTGGAGTGGCTCATTCGCTGATCGGTTGTTTCAGTCGGTTTGTGCTGACTCAGTGGTGAACCAAGTAGCACCGAGATACGGTAAACGCCGAGCTTGACTAAGCTAGGCCGCCCAACACCCTACGGTCCGACACCCCACACAAAATCTGCACGAAAACAGCGAAGACGACAGTATCGCTGCCACGTGGTCGTTTGTGGCGACCGTTCAGGTAACGTGAGCTATCAACGGCCCGAACCATTCGTTACGAGCCGTTACGTCATCGGACGTCGAAACATCGCACGTGCGCTAACGTGCACAGGACTGCCCTAACTAAACTCATACGCGGGAGCCCCGATCGAGCCGATTACCTACTTACCGACGTGCGCTTGGTAGCTTACGCAAGGTGAGCGTGACCGCATGATCGTCGTCCCGGTTACCCGAACGTGAATGATTTCCGGTTACCGAGACCGATTCCAGGTCAGTACGAAGTTGTCGATCAGCGTATCCAGCCATCGTGAGCCAGCATAGCAGTACACAGGTTAGCGTAGAATTAAGCGAACTTTGTACCCACAAAACAGGACCTAGTGACGTCACTTTTCAGGCAGGGAACCCAAAATTGAGAAATGATTAATACAATGATTTTACCTGTAGCAATCCTAAAAGCAAATATGTAGGTTCTTTATTTTCAAGTTGACGTTGCCACATAGGGTGTTCTGGGGAATTGATTTGTGTTTCGATCACACCGCTGCGGGGGACAGAATATCCTCTCATTATTCTCAGATTGAGTTAGGGATATAGTTTTTCGGCCTGCGGATTGGGAAAGCTAAATTGGATTCGGGTGTTTGAGCGTTAACTACCTGCCTTGAAATAGAGTCTCTAGCCGAGCACTCCAACAGCAACAGCAGTCTCTCAACTTACGAGAGTGGCGCTTAAGCTGCTGAATGCCTGAAACTTTTGCATTCGTTACATGTGCTTCATTTTGATTTGGGATGAGTTTTTGAACTATGGCTCGGGATTTCCACTGTGGCGTGCTTCTATTGTGACATATCCATACGTAATTTTATTGGACGACATAGTGGAAACGTGTGAGTGTAGTTGGAGCATATCTTCTATCTATATACACCACCGATCATAAGTTTAAGGACACCCCAAAAAACCATGCAAATATATTTTGTTCAATTTTCGAATTGTATGAATTGAATGGTATGAATGGTATAGAGCATAAGGAAAGGTCCATTAATTATGTCACGCAAATTTGGCCCATTTTCAACCCCCTCCCCCCTTTGTCACATTTTTTATATGAACCTTATTTGTTTTTTGTAAGGCTCGTCACAGTTTCCAATACCCCTCCCCTCCCCCTAAAAGTGTGACATAAATAATAAACGATCCCTAAGTGTTCTACTACTACTTTTATTTCAAAATTTGGCCAACTCAATTCTGAGAAAATCAGTCACGATTCTTCAGAGTAAATTTTGAAAAATATTGTAACTTTAGGTGAACTTTTAGCGCACAAAATTTGAACTTTCATTATATATTGAACTTTCAAATGATCCAAAGAGAACGAAAATTGGACGTAACATGACAGAGATATGAACCTAACAAATTTGTCATGTTTTTTTGGGGGTGTTCCTGACCTTATGCTCGGGAGTGTATATAAAAATGAATTTCTGTCTGTCTGTCTGACCCTTACAGACTCGGAAACTACTGAACCGATCGGCGTGAAAAATTTGTATGTAGGGGTTTTTGG